AGGGAAAGGCTGTGGTGAGGACTGTTGGCAAGATATACAGAGGCTGGATTCAGGCATGTACAGACAGAACTTACCACGCACACGCTGAGGGGGTATGTGGCCAGGCTCAGCCCACCGCTGATGGGGAGGTGCTGAGGGTCTGTGGACAGGCTCATTTGCCCACAGCTAACAAAGAAGTCTGGGAGAGGTGCAGTGGCAACAAGCAACCACCAGAAGGTGCTGGGAGGCTGTGCCAAGCATAGGAGTGAGTATTAGACATGCTCCTAACTGCTAAGGGCCAACTACTCCTCCAGGCCTGTTAGCAAAGTTAGAAGTCATCCCACAGAAAAAAAAATGTTTGGGAGAAATACCCAATCTCTTATTAAACAAAGTAAGACTTCCAGTACAACAGTGAAACTTGCCAGAAGAATACTCCAGGATGTGAGCCCAATGATTACAATATGCCACAAACTCGGGGCCCAAAATTTAGCCCATGTTGGTAACCAGCGACTGAAAGCAGGGAGAAGAAAACATGCGTCGCGACAGGAGATTGGATGATTTGGACGAGCCCATGAAACAACTGTCAGGAGTCTAACCAGGACAGAGTGCCGTATCCTGCAGGACAAATCCGAAGCACTGAGGATACCCAAAATGCCCCATTCCTTTATACTATGGAGCAGACAAGGAGGCAGAGCGAAGGAAAGAAAGGCAGAGGACAGGCTGTAGTGATCCCATGGTGCCACCAGAGAATTCACCACTCCTGCCAGAGGCATCCTGTACCTAAATCTATCAATCTCTATGTTGAACTTGGAGGTCAAATGATCTACAGCAGTGGTCCCCGGGCCGCGGCCCGCGGATCAAATGGTACCGGGCCGAAGGCGAAGCAGCGATCCCGACTCTGCTCTGCCCAGCTCCGTGTCACAGACTTTACTGCGGTTCATTGTAAAAATCATTCCGCCGCAGGTACCAGAACACTTCCAGGTAGAGAACCCATCCCTTGGATCCAGATCCTGACAAGGTTGGGATGTGCAAGCCTGTATTTTCTTTGCAGTGGCAAAACTTCCTTTTCCTCCATGGGGAATTATATAATTGTCCAACTCGATGGGGGTACCAATTGGAAGGTAATCCAAACAAACAATCGTCTAAGCTGAAGCCATGAATAATGCTTAATGTTAGGCAGGACCTGCACCCACTGTTTCCACAACAGGTGGACATCCAGACAACCGGAAAGCCCTGAGAGCACAGTAGGGTTAGTACCAAGTAGGGTAGGGTAGCAGGAGAAAAGCTGAACGGTAGGGCCACCACAGCAGAAGCGCTGGAGACCCAAAGCTAAGAAAAAGATCATGCTGGCAAAAATTGAAACATTGCAGCACACTCCTAGATATTCACAGAAGCAGGAAAGGTAAGAATCCTCAGTAGTATGGGAGCTGCAAACATTGGTGAATAAGTTCCCTAAACTGTTATGCCACAGAAATCAGGGTTAAAACCCCTAGGTCCATGGAGGTCTGTTATCCGCAAGGTAAGAGAAGTAGGTGTGAAGGCATTAACATAGGTGGGAAGGGCAGAAGTCTAATCAGGACCCCTTTGGAACAACCACCTGCACCCGAGAAACAAGATGCTGGCTGCCCAAAGTATCCACAAAGACTAATCGTATCCCTTTCTTTGATAAAAGGTGGCTTCCTTCCATACTGAAGAAGACTAACCAAAAGGCTTGTAGGATTTTTAGTCCAAGGTTTGTGGGCAGATTTGGGGCCAGGTTTGGAATTGGCTATGGAAACGGAGGTCTGTGAAAGACAAAATAACTCATCCAGTCCAGGCAGAATCCTAGGCCTTCTCTGGTAGACTACACAAGCATTTCCACCCCCCAGAGCCCAGGCCAGCACCAAAGAGACACTGTCTTTCAAAGACTAGGGAACCAGATGCCTCTATAAGCTGGTTCTGCAGTCCATGCCTAAACCAAACATTGCCAACATAGTAACTAAGGGCTGCAGGTAAGAGATACAGACAAGACTGAGCAGTGGATCAACCTGCACAGCGTACAAGTTCCATCTGATGACCTCGCCCTAGGACAGTGAAGTCTGACTGACAAAAAACACCACTAAGGGAGGTCCCCTTATTAGGACCCGCCAGGGAGAACAAGACCTGGAAAGGAGCTCAACCGTTAGCAATGGGGGTCATAAAAAGGTAGGTGCACCTTCCACCGGAAAAGGCAAAGCCTGTCCAAGGAGGTACATAGTCAGAACCCTAGCAGAGTAGAACAATGTTGAAGTACTACTTCCTACAGGATCCATGCTTTAATTTGCTTGGGAAGAGTGAACCCTTTGCCACGGTGCTTACACTTCTCATAAAGGGGGTAGCTCTTCATATGTTGGGAGAAATATCAGAGGCCTATGACACCTAGAAGGAAATACCCTGAACGGGATCTTTAGAGGCCCAGCTTTAGATAAGGACTCAAAAGCAGCAACACCATAAACAAAACAGACAGGGATTCTACTGGAGAAGGCTTAGAGGCACACTAAGACCACTGCGACCATCAGCAACCAAATGAGAAATTATGCCCATAAAGCCATCATGACCCAGTGGAATCCTTGCAAGGCAGAGCCACAAAAGAGGCCCATCAAAGTAAAAGGGAAATGCAGAGGACAGCAGTCCAGTTATTCCTATAGGGCAGTGGTGGCGAACCTTGGCACTCCAGCTGTGCCAAAACTACAAACCTAAACATGCATCTGCCTCTGGGAGTTATGTCTGTGGCTGTCAGAGCCTTGCAATGCCTCATGGGACTTGTAGTTCCAAAACAGCTGGAGTGCCAAGGTTCGCCACCACTGCTATAGGGGCTAACACAAACAAACCAGTGCTGCTAAGTTGGATTACCAGGAAGCCAGGTTACAGGAAGGCTGACATCCTACACTGAGAATATTCACTGCCTGGATCTGTTACAGGACCATGGCCTCTGACAGAGAGGGCACACTATCTGGAACACTGACCCCACTTGCTGCATACAACAGTATACACCACCTCTGTGGACGGAAATGGGCCTGACATACTCCTGCAACTCTGTCACTGTGTTGCCTTGAGGAAGAGACCCTGAGTGGCTCCAAAACGTTGGCTTCTTGACTATGTGACGTAAATTTGTAATAAAACTAACTTTATTTGCATATTGAATTACTGAGTGCTGGTGACTTATCTTCAAATACTCCTACATCCAACACCGCAGGACACAGCTCCCCTGCAGGTGCAATAGGTGGCATAGTGTATGACAACCAGTGTAGAGACCAGCAGAAACAAACTGCCATCCATAGAAATTAACAGAATGTGAGAGGAAGTGACGTCATACACAGGTATATGCTCAAAGTCAACATGGCAGCCGCGGCTTTTGGTTCCAGCAGTCCACAAGTCACGGCCTTAATTTCTGTGTGACCCTGCAAAGGCTGCCAGGCCTGATGTGCAAGGCTGTCGCCCTAATAGCACAAAAGCCACCATGATCCCCCCAGAGCCCCAGGGAAGAAGAGTGATAGTGGAGGTGGAGACACCATCTGTTGCCATTAGTGACACCCACCAGGCAGAAGTAAGTGCACCCAAGCACCACCTGAACACACACGTGGGGATGAACGAACTGGGGAAAGAAGACAAGAGTAACGACAGACTACTTACAGCCACAACCCTGGGCTGATCCAGGATGCGTGGAGGGTACCGCTTCCCTGGACAAGTCATTTCTTTGCTGAAGTGGGGGCACTGTCAGTCTGCAGAACACTATGAAAGAGCAACGAGGTCACTCATGAGGAACACTCACAGGCTGCCCTAGGATCCAAGATGGATCACACATAGCTAGGGATCTGCATACACTTAATGACGGAGCTAGTGGGACTAAAAGGATTTTGATTATCCAGCCTGTCACCCAGCTCAGCTATTGATTGAAGGTTTTGAAGATAAACAAGAAAATAAATAAAAGAGCTTGGGTCCTTACTCCTTGACACTACGCTAAAAACTGAGCTGCCAGTAACAACAAAGGGGTTTGGCCATCAGCAGGAGCTGGCCCTGAACTAAACGTTTGTTTTTGTGCCTAGTGTCCTATTCCTGAACATGTGAGTGTGCCATGATGCCTTTCTACTGTTCTACTATTCCTGAACATGGCCCTATAACCCAATGGTTAGAGATTCATGATCTCCGCTGTGTCCTTCAATGAAAAGAAAAATTATTTATAAGGAAATACATTGCAAGAGTTTTTTTAATACACGATTTTTCTGTGCTTTACTTGCAATCTGTTCCTCTAGAACAGTGTAGTGAATTAAAATTTTAGGCGAGTAGAATTTTCTTTGAGCAGAGGTCTGAACTGCGGGTCCGAGAGAACGGTCACGCAGTACGCCGTTTAGGCTGCATCCATCCCACCAACCTTTGGTTGTCCCCCTTTAGAGCGCCCCTTAATATTATTCTCCCTATGTACCTTTGTTTACTACTAGTAGGTTAGGGGTGGGAGCGGGGAGGTGGACCAGACTACAGGAGTGATCAGAAGATACTTTTCCGTCCTCCTGTAATGCTGGAGAACACATTCAACGACTGCAGAGCAGGTAGACAGCTGGCATCATTGGTTGCTAGGATGCCAGAGGTCCTAGCAACCAATGATTGCAGAGGAGGGGGGCCTGCCCTGGGTTATGGCTGGCACTAATGCACTGGCCTTGGAGGCCAGCGCATCCACCGACAGTCTGCCATAACAGAGTGCAGGTCGGCGACCGCCACTTGGTCTGTGTCCGGACAGTGGTCCGCCATTTTGGGGCACCTCCTTTAGAATATGTTTTCTTTTTTCCCACCGTCATAGAGAGTCTGTAATGCAAGATGGGGCCAATGTATCTTAATTTTATAAATCCATCCACTTCTGTTTTGTACTGGAGACACACAGGCAGGACTAGTGTCCTTAGTTGCAGATTTGCTTTCCTCTGCTTTATTCTTACCACATTTGTTGTTGATTTACACTCACCACTCAATTCGCAAATACAATTTTTTATATATTTTTTTTCTACATAAGGCAGTTGTATAAAACAGATGATGTCACAAATTACGATATGCTCCCACTGTAAGATCAAACAACTTGGCATTGGAAACATGTCCTTGCTTGTCCAATAAGTAGTATAAAGGGCGCCCTTTGATCTTAAGTGGTATCATGGCAGGAACCTCAGAGCGATGAGCCATTGAAGAAATGTGTCTTAAAGGAAGACTAAACGATGAACTGATCCCAAAAACACCGGCAGTGACGAGGGTTACTTTATCTCCTCCAGCATGAAGGGTCACCAGGCTGACAGAGCGTCGGGAGAATAACAAACCAGCTACCATTACAAGGGTACCTAGAAGGAAAAGTAGACAATTCACAAAATGAGAAAAAAGAAAAACAATTGCAAACTAACTGACCCAATTTCAAATCAGTTTTTTCCCCCCATAACTGTGACAATGTAAGATATTAATAAAGAGGACCTGTCAGTGTGCCTTTGCTATTATATAGGGGGATTTTTATCCCCCTATATAATAGCAATAACAATAAGTGCAAAAAAATAAATATAAAATTAAAAAAAATAAAAGTAACATATAAAAAAGTAAAATAAAATAAGTCACAAATAAAAAAAAAAGGGGAAAAAAACCCCCCAAAATATTTAACTCCCCCACCCCCACGTTTACGCGCCTATAAACGTAAATACGCGTCCGGTGCCCCAGCGCGCAAAAATTACAATTGCGCTACACATGTTACATATCGCCGCGAACGTCGCAGTGAGAGCAATCATTTTAGGGCCATCAATCACTGATAACACTAAACTGATGAGCGGTAACAGCTTTTTTAAAGCGTCGCCTATGGCCAATTTT